CCCAAAAAAAACCACACAAAACACAAAAGTAAACTAGGAGGAAAGCATTAAAAAGCATGAAGCAGCAAAAGGATTTTTTTTCTTTTTTTAAGGTAGCCTTCAAACTTTGGTAAGCTTTTTTGCCTATTCTTACACTTCCACAGTTGAAGATACTTTAGTAATGCAAACAAAGATTTTTTTTCTTTTAAACAAATTATATGCTATTCATAAGGTAGTAACTTTTAACTATTCTACATGGAAGAGATAATGATGAAATTCTTTTTAAAAGGAAACTATCTGGGGTACCTATCTACAGTAAGATGTCCGGTACAGTAAAGCAATAGGCAGTTTACCTGGTTAAAGAAAACAAGCAAACAAAAACCCCCATCCCACTCAATTCAGTTTATGCTGTCAGAAAGAGTTTTAAATAGTCTTAATACTAGTGGGTCACTAACATGTTGTAACTATGTGAATAAACAGCTTTTTTTTAAAAAAAAGCTCCTTAAAATTCTTTTAATATGGATGAATATTTAAGAGAATCCAACTGATACATCAGTTCAGTTTAACTACTGCTTGCATGCTAGATTTATACAACAGCATTTATCACTTGAAAGAGAGCGCTAAGATAAGCAAATGCTAGATGAAAAAATCTAGCCTAACATCAGTGGAACAGACATGCATTATCAGCATGAAATATTTGAAGAATTTCCCCATCATGCAAACAGCTAGTCTTACAACATCTCTCCTCTTTCTCTCCCAGCCTTCTGTTGCCTACTCTGCAGCCTTATTCATGCTAATACTAAAGACAAAAATACCCGAGATCCAGATCTCTATGATTAGAAAAAGCTTTCACAGAAGTTTTGAGATTTTTTTTCTTGCAATTGCCTTTTACAGATTCTCTATAACTCAGCAAAACACAAAAAAGTTGCAGCACTTGTTCTTTCCCTGAAAAAACATGGTCATATCACTAGAAAAAAAGTTATACATACTCTAAGCAAATAATTTATAAAGAGTACACATTAAATCTGAGAAGCTTTTAACTTTTTTCCCAAATTCACACTAGCTGTTCATAATTTAAAAAGTGGCTTTAAAAATGAGTGCACAACCTGCCACATACAGTACGGAACTGTTTACCACTTCTACTGAAGAAGTATTTTCTATATGCTTCTGCACTTTTCTGTATTTTTTAATTAGTGACATAATACACTATTTTTGTAAGTCTTACAACACAGGGAGCTATTTATTTGCAGTCCCAATGGATAAAATACTGCAATGAATTCAACATAGAATCATAGAATGCTTTGGGTTGGAAGGGACCTTGAGAGATCAGAGCCCAACATCATGCTGTACTATTTCTATTTATGTTTAAAACAACAACAAAAAATTACTCTCATGTCAGACTAATTTTGAACTATACCATTTTCGTTACTCCTTTCAAGCAGGAACACCCTGCTAACAGAATACAAGGTTATTTGCATTTTGTATTTGGAAAAGGCCGCCTTAGAAAAACTAGAATTTGCAGCATGCATTGAGATTACAGAAAACTTTAGATTTCCTGTACATTAGAAACTTGTTGCTTTCAAGTGACCAGCGCAGCCAGAAGAAAAGTCTCAGAAACCTTGTTTCTGGGTCATGAGATAGATTATCTGGAGATTAATTAGAACAGATAAGCAGTTAAAACAAAACAAGCAAAACACAACAACAAACCTCTAAAGTCCAAAATCTTTGTACCATCATCCAACTTGGCAATGGAGTGCTGTTTGCCTGTCCCACTCATAATACAGCTTTCTACACGGTCACCATGGTCATGGCTGAACAGGGAGCTTCTGCTGGGGCTCAGGGGAAAAAGGAGAGTCTACCACCTTTGGAAGAAGGGGCAGGCAATTCAGGAAGAATACAGGGATCTCGTTAGGTCATGCAGAGAGGAAATTAGAAAGGCAAAAGCCTAGCTAGAACTCAATCTGGCCACTGTTGTAAGAGATAATAAAAAATATTTTACAAATACATCAAAAACAAAAAGCCAAGGAGAATCTCCATCCTTTGCTGGATGTGGGGGAGAACATTGTCACCAAGGATGAGGAAAAGGCTGAGGTACTTAATGCCTTTTTTGCCTCTGTCTTTAATAGCCAGAGCAGTTATCCCCAGGGTTTTCAGCCCCCTGAGCTGTAAGACAGGGACAGGGAGCAGAATGAAGCCCCCATAATCCAAGAGGAAGCAGTTAATGACCTGCTACACCACCTGGACGCTCGCGAGTCTATGGGGCCGGATGGGATCCACCCGAGAGTATTGAGGGAGCTGGCAGAGGAGCTCACCAAGCCACCTTCCATCATCTATCAGCAGTCCTGGTTAACAGGGGAGGTCCCTGATGACTGGAGGCTTGCCAATGTGACGCCCATCTACAAGAAGGGCCGGAAGGAGGACCTGGGGAACTACAGGCCTGTCAGCCTGACCTTAGTGCCAGGAAATATTATGGAGCAGTTCATATTGAGTGCGCTCAACAGGCATGAGCAGGCCACCCAGGGGATTGGGCCCAGCCAGCATGGGTTCATGAAAGG